CCAAAAAAGTCATGATTGTAACAGAAGAGATATGTTGTACGAGGATTTGAAAAATTCAATATAAAAAAACGCGAAGTCGGTTAGTAAACCACTTGCAAAACACTTTAAGTTGAGTGCGAGGCAAAAGTCCTTCAAACAAAAAAGAAAAGAGGGAAAAAAAGACGTTCTATATTATTTTGAAATGGGGGTTGGATATATGTCACGGTGTATATGAGGACAGACATTGCACGTGCAGCAGGCGTGGTGGGTAGATTTCTCATGAACTTTGACAAAGAACACTAAACAACAGTAAAATAGTTTCTCAAATATCTCGATCGCACATCTAAAATTATGATTATGCTTTCGAGGTAAAACTTATAGTAGAAGGATATAAAAATGCAAAACATGGTTAAAGACATCGAACTATGAAGTCTACATCAAGATACTTGTTCACTTTTTCTAAGGGCTAGTTTAAATTGTATAAGGGAAGTGATATCATGTCACCATGCTATTATTATATAATGAAACCACACTTCTAGAAAATCATATTTGTGTTATTTATATGATCCAAAGTTTTGCACGCACATTCTGTTCATCTTTATAATCAAACTCAAAAACAAAAAATTTTAATTTTCATCTTATATATGATCAAAATGAGTCTCTCCAACAATGAAGCTAGACAATTCACTTGGTGAATTTCAAGATCTAGCCCTTTATGAATTTAAAATTAAATTTTTTTTTTAATATTGTTAATCTAATAATAATAAAGTTATCTAAAAAAAATGATCTTTCTAAGGCCTAGATCTAAGCATCTCACCAAAATAGAAATCACTCTTCTTTCATAAAATTTCTTTTTTTTTTAATATGTTAAGCACTCTGAATTTTTCACAAGATATTCCAAAATTCGCATTTTTTTAATGGAACCTATATAAATCTCTATTGGGTGTGGTTTCTATATAGTTGCAACTTTAAACAATCCAATTAGGGCGCACCTCCAAATTTTATGATAACATATAATTTTGGTGTAAAACTTTTTTATGCTTATTTGAAAATTTATTTTTATCCCTAATTATAAAATTTTAAACTCCTAAAATAGTTAAAATCAAGTAGATCTATAAACATATGGAAATCTTGAAAATAGGACGGTCTAGATAATGTGTTACAAGATGCACTATTTATGCGACTCAAACTCTTTTTTTCTCTTTATATTCATATATATCTAAATGTCAAGATGATTAATTTGAGGGTTTTTCAACATTAAAACAAACTTTTCCAATGGATTTTTTAGGTACGTATGTAATTTTACATTTTAAGGTTGCAACCTTATATAAATTTTTTCCATCTGTATTTTATCTCCTTTGATTTTTTTTAATCCGTTAAGAACTTCGAGTTTTTAAAAAGATCTTCAAAGATAGTATTTTTTAAATGGAACCGAAATAAATTCGTATTTTATCTTTTTTCAAGAAAACTTCTTCGCTATAACTTTATTTCTTCATTATAACTTTATTTCTTCATTAACTTAATATTACAGAATTTTGGTTTAAAGATAAGTACATTATTTGGTTTAAAGATAAGTACATTAACAGTGGGAGCAAATTAAGAAACTTAATTTAACAAACCTTCTATAAAAGAATTTCACGAATGAGTTCCCTTAAAAAAAGTATACGAAAAAAATACAAAGGATATTTTTTCTACTTCTTCCAAGTGCAGGATAACCCCAAGGGGTTATGGGTTGTTTTCTACCAATTGGGGCCCTTCCTTCACAACCCCCATGGGGATGGTGTACATATTCCCAAAAACAAGTAATCAAAAAAATTGTATATCTCTAAATAATAAATAGAATTAAAAGAATATTAACCCAACAAAAATCTTTTTCTTTTTCTTTTTTTCTTTAAACCCATCGTGAGGAATGGAGTGCAAGCTTAGAATATGCTTGAGCATTTTGTTGTTTATTTTTATGCAAGGATAAATTTGATTAATTTTAGATTTTTTATTTTTTATTTCATTGGTGTATACAAACTAGCATTTTAGATGGACCACTATTTTACATATTTGGGTTTTTATATTTTCTTTTAATTAACTGCAATCTTATATTGAGTGCTTTTTTAAAAAAAAAAAAAATCCTATACCTTGATTCACAGTTACTGTTGTTTACTAATTAGTTCTTGGGTTCAATATTGTTGTTATTGTTTCATGTTATGCTCCCAATAAATCTACGTTATGTTTTGTATTATGACAACGGAATAAGCATTGTTTATGAATTTATTGAAAGTTTCAACAAAAAAATTGTCTAAATATTATTCTAATGATACTAATAAGGCTATATAATTATTGTTTAATGACTTTAATACATCTATACAATATCTACTAATCATATCCTATATGGTGTCATCTTTGTACATTCGATTTTTTTACTACATTTTATTCAACCAAATCCAAAATATTTATGATTCTATAACTTACCTTATTTTTGGCGATCCGTATTTATTACCCGATATTTTACTCCAACATTTTGAAATAAAACCGATTTATTAATTTTGGTATGTGAATATTCTATTATTCCCCGACTTGCTAACTATGATGTAGAGTGATTGAATTGAATGATAGTGAGACGACACATGCTCTAATGCACACAAATAGAACATTAGGGACTGGACGAACCACCAAACAGATACTCGAAAACTTTAATGTAATTTAGTATAATAGTTTATTTATTTTTGTAGTTAAAAAATCATCATCACTATCAAAGCATTTTTTCAATTATTTGAAGTTAGCTATACGAATTTTAGACCGCCATTCTACCCTATCAATAGCAATACATTTAATATGGGCATAA